TAAAGCTTATTATTCAAAAAAAGAGAACCTCAGTTCGTGAACTTTATTCCTAAAAGGTTATTTAATTTTATAAAATCTATCGAAGAATAAAAATCAAGTCCATGAAGTTGAATAATTTGTTCTTATAAATAAAAGCAACGAGATTAGACAGAAAATAAAGACACATTCAAATTGAAATTATTGCAAGACGATTGCTTTAATTTGCAGACCGTTCGATCAGTTTACTACAAGATCCGAATATTGGATGCACTGATTCTCTTAAATTGATTACAAAATGAAAGTGTCGCAGATAATTACGAATTCGCTCACAAATAAAACTGAAATGGGGAAAAAAGGTTAAATACAAGATTCACAAGATTTAAGATCTTTCTCATGGATAACATTTTTCGCACAAAGAGATCGTCATTCTCTGACGCCACGCGATTATGAACGAGAGCTGACAAGCGCGATTACTAATGAGGTAAAATAACTATTGAATCTGTCTCATAACGACTCAATCGAAATGCGTAACTAAAATAAGTTCGGTCCCTTTGAAAACTATAAATGCGATCGTTCATTTCTAATTTTATACTCGCTGTGCAATTTTCTACTTCCGATCAGTGCAATTTTTCGATCTTCCATTAATTTGTCTAGGAATTATACGCAGAGTTCGGCATTATTCGAATAACTGTTTATCTAGATTATTATTCGAGTGAATAAATAATTGAATAATTTTATTCGCGCATATTTCTTATTTTCATTTCAAATAAAACTTGGCCCGGTTTAAAATTATTTAGAGTGATGCAATTATTTTGATAAGTATTTATCAAATTTAATTCTTGCCATTATCAAAACTGCGATACCTTTTCTATTTTGCTAAAATTCGTGGAAGCCTCGCAATTTTTATTCTATATTCTTTTTTGTTCTTTCTCAACGTTTTTCAAAACAGTAAAAAGAGACACGTTGGCATGGTCATCGATGCGTTGCTACTTCGTTCTGAATCGCTACTTTTTAGGGCTCTGTTCGATACGAGCATAAATTCGAAGTTTTTACAAATAACTGAGTATATAGTACGACAGTGGACTTTGCATCACTTACTTCGCAATTCCCACGTACGAGATTGTAAGACTCGTATGAACGGCAGGCTAACGTGTAAATAAGTGATACGGTAGTACGTAACGCGAAACCTAGAGTCAAAGTGGACTTCACTGACAATCTATTGCCTGCAAATACATTCTAATTCATGGTCGTATTCGACGGTGTTTCTCACGATAGAGAATTCCAGTTTTTTAACAGCCGAACTAACGACGATTCACGTATACCTATTTCTACCCAACTGATCGAAATGACTTGTTTCTCTTTTTTTAAATCAACAAGTCATTTCAGAAAAAACCTAACATTTTATGCGTTTTCATATATTTTCCTATTTTATAAACGAAAGTTCATTACAAACTGAATAGTAATAATAATAATTAGATTGCAGATTTTATGCATTTACGGCGAAACTGCAAGGGTGCAGTTTCCTCCAATCAATGCAAACAACTTTTATTCCGCATAAAAATCCGCAGTCTAATAATAACAGCTAGAGAAAACTTATACTTTTTTTTCCTTTTCTATGCAAACGTGACGAAATCTTTCATTTTCACTGTCAGTATCGGATGAATCGCTTGTAGTTTCGTTGTATGACTGTGGATATACATTTCCACTGTCTACTAGATCACTTTTACGATAACTTATGATGTCTCCCTAATTTGATTAGATTTCGAAAAATGTAAGAACGTTAAATAAGTAATTAATGTCGTACCATTTGACTTTTCTATTTTGCATTTGATTAAATAAAATACTTTATTGTATTTAATTAAGTGAAATACTATACTTGATTAAATAAATACTTTATTGTATTTGATTAAATGAAGTACTGTACTTGATTAAATAAAATACTTCACTACATTTTATTAAATAAATACGTTACTGTATTTTGTTAAATAAATATTTTACTGTATTTCATTAAATAAATATTTTAATTGTATGCAAAGCGTTAAATCGATAATTTCAGAACGATAATGCTTGCAAATGATCGTCGCAACTAAGAATACTCTTAAGAATTTAAGAAATGGTGCGACAGAGGATTGTGAATGTAATCGTCTTGACACGCTTAGAACTGATGACGCCAAATGGTGTCACGGGTACAAAGATTCAGAGATCGTAAGACCAGTCAAGTGTGAATATGTATCGCGGTGCTCGCCGAAATTGAGACGGTGCGAAACGATGGGAACAGAATTGCGCGAAACAACGTTCGACAAATGCTCTCAACTTCGATCCGAGACACCGAAAACTCTTTTCTAAATGTGTATTGGGTGTACGCAAAAGTTGCGATCTCTCGATTTTATCTGCAAACAAAAGAAACAATAACGCGATATTGGTAGTAACGTATCCTTCGCATCGATGTGTGTGTGTGTGTGAACTCCACCATACACGTACATATCGTGTACAAAATAAGGAAAAATGGAAAGAGATAGTCACGTTATTGTTTCTTATAACGACTAAATACGATAGTGTGCATGATTATAGACTCAAAGTAATTATTACATTATTACCGATATCTAAACGAAAAAATATCCTATTTGTATATTCTTGTTTTTCCATTACTTCTAATATAGAAATATACAAATATGATATTTTGTTAAGTTTTTTTTAATTATACGAGGCCACCTACAGTGCTGTGAATAATTATAAAGTCAAAGTAACTTTTACACTTTCACTGATATCTAAACAAGAACTGAAAAAAGCTACATTTGTGTATTCCTGTTTTCCATTATATTTAACACAGAAATATACAAATATGCTTTGTTAAGTTTTCGTTTAAATATCACTAAAGTTACTTTGAGTCTATAATTATTCACACCGCTATACGTCGCGCAGTGCCGCAACCATGGTGCGAATTTCATTTTTCAACGGACCTCTCAAGTAGAGCGATCGAGAACGAGTCGCAAATTGGAACAACCAGTTACATAACGTCGAATAATATTTGATCCCTCGTTTGACGCCCGAGAAAACCAGTTCCAATCAAGCATTTCCTATTGCAACCCAATTTCCCTCGGCCGCGCAGTGTCCCGAATCAGCGATAAAAATCGGTAAGGTCACTGCTGCTTCGCATTGACTCAAAAAATTATCTCTATACTACGTTGAAATGTCTAAACAATTATGTTCAATTACAGTAAAATTTAATAGAAAAGTGATCCGAAGCGTGTGCTGCAAGTGAGAGTTGAAAAGATCGAATAGTACACCGGTTCGCAACGTAACATGTTTACGTTGTTTTATGAACAAAAGATGTTTGTAGGAACTAATGTTTATAGAAAATGATGGCCAAGGGTTGTCCAATTGTAGTGAAACCTTAGAGATTTTATAATACTTATATTTCAACATAACAACTGACCCGAAAATAATTAATATTTCAAGTGGAAGTATCACATAATTTTCTTGATTTATATTATTTTTCATTAAAAATCGACAAATATTTACTGCTTCGACTATGGACAATAAATAAACAATTACTATAATAATTACTATTATTATTGATTATATAGACAAACAATGTATTAAGTCAGATTCCGAAAATGAAGTACAATATAAATAAAATAAATTAAGAATTATTTTTATTTTACTTCTATTGATCTGGCCTTTGTTCTTTATTTCCTACTGTCATATTCGTGATCTGCGACTTCCAGGCAGCTTATAAGGCTTTTATTTTTAGTTTACTAAGTAGACTTTTCGAGAAATTAATTTAAAAAAAACATTTCCATTTGATACATGAACGCTCAATGAAAACAAAAAGTTAACATCACATTCGTGATCAGCGATCACTTAAATGTTCTTCCAGCGTAAGTATAGAATATTGGCCAGCTTTCTGGCATTTTAGAATAGGTACTGCGATGTCGTTCCTTTTCCGATCGTTCGGGCGAAATATTCGACCCACTTATGTCGCTAAATTCGCGCGGATGAGCAGAGACGTCGAAACAATCGATAAGCAATCGTTATTAATAGACTGGGGATTTTTACGCAAAATAAAAATTGTCTACCATCAATTGCAAGAAATAGAAACTAAATGGAAAGCTTTTTTCCTTTTTAATTAATTTTACTACATCATAAGTGATGCAGTGACACTTTTAGACAGGGGTTGAAAACAGTTATAAGATCGGTTCCGATTCTTGAAACAGTTATGGAAATAACAAAAAATGTTATAACTGTTATGTACAATATCGGTTTCGGTTATGATATTTTAGAACTGATATAATATCTTTTTAACGCCTGTTTAAAAGTGTCACTGAATTATTTATAACCAACTAAAATTATTTTAAAAATTAAAAAACTTTCTATTCAATTTCTATTTCTTTCAATTGACGCAGACAATTTTTATTTTATCACAACAGTTGTAACTAGACTGACGATCTTTGCACAAAATAAAAATTTTCCAAGAAGATTATGAGAAACAGAAATTAAATAAAAACACAAACCGTTTCTTTCAATCATTTTAATAAACTGAAAACGGTGTGACTATATTATCCAATATACTGTTAATATACTATTAAAACAATTTCATATTTCAATTGCACACTTCTATCATAAATGCATAAAATCCGCAGTCTAGTTATAAAATTCTTTCGGTTCGCATAATTGTTCCAATTCAGAACCGATATAGGACCAATCGGAACAATTAATTTCGTAACCGTTTCAACAGCTGCTTTTAAATTCGTTTAACCCCCCTACTATTTCAAATCGAAACAACTCATTTTTGCCATCAATGCCTAAAATCCGCAAGTCCAGTTATTTATTGAAAAGTATTAATATCAATTAGCGTTATCACGATTGCAAGATTCTAATTTACCGATGAAACGCGATTGTTTCCTTTCATAGCTCGGCCTCGCAGTCCGTCTGTCGATCTCCCGTACGTCGCGCACAACGTTACTTACACGCGCTCACCACGATTACAATAAATCTCCAGACATTATTAATAATCCTACCTCGATTGAGCAGCATCGTTCTAATGACCCTGATATAAATCTTGCCGTGCTTCGTCTTGGCGACGTGGAATAAAAAATCCGAGACGACTCCGTCGCCCTCGTGGATGTCGGTCTCGGCTAGGATCTCTTTCAGAGTCTCGACTCGTTCCTCCGGGGTGCTCTCGTCGTTCGCGGCTAACTTTCTGTCCAGATAATCGACGACGCTGCACTCCTGCCAGAACTCTTGCGGATCGTTCTCCCGAGTCCTTCTGGGCGTTCTCACGTCCAGGAGACCGGACGAGTCTAGACCGGCGTAGGAGACGTCCAAAGCCAAGCTGGTGAACATCGGGGTTCTGGGAGAGCCGGTCTCCAACCTCCGACGAGGACTCTCGGGACTCCTGAGGCTCCAGGAGTCGCCAGATTGCTGACCGTCCTCCTCGCTCATTCTCGAGAAATCGTTGGAACCCGCTTCGGTTCTCCAAACGTTTCGCGCGGACTGGTTATCCGGGATCCCCAATAGATGCTCGAATCCGTACGGCTTCCCGAAGGCTCCGCCGGACGACCAGACGTTGTCTAGAGCACCGACTCGCTGGTAAAAATCCGTGCAGCTCCAAGAAGAGCTTCCTGGTACCGCGACGTTTCCCGAAAGACTTTCGCTCGGTCTTGAACCAGCCGCGACCGGAGCGGCCCGGTCGATTGTCTCGCAGGATGAATCTCCCTGGGAATCCTCGAGCGATCCCTGGGAACGATTCCTCGGTTCGACAAAGGTTTCCGCGTGCCGTTCCGACGGCGTTGTCTCATTCGGAGCCCGGAACGCATGCTGATCAACACCGTCAATCGTTCTCGAAGAATGATCTTCGCTCGTTGCTCCTTGCCTGCCTGTTCCCGGGCATGAAGCTCCCTCGGACCTCTCGCTTCGCTTCCAGAAGGATTTCTCGAAATCGCGCTCGTTGCTCATGTCACCATTACCACCGCCCGATCCTCAACTCGATAGCGCGCTCATCGACATTTCTCTGTTCACGGCGACGCTGATCGAATGCACACTGTATATTTATTCGCTATTCAGATTCACACTCTTTAAGGGACAGTAGTTTTACGTGAGTCGCTTTGTTCTGTTGCCGTTATTTTAAGGGAGCGCGTTCAGGAGAAAATCAACCATTAGGTCGAGTCATAAATAACTTCCGTTTTCTTTTTGTCACGCATTTATTTTTTTTCGATCTTTTTTAATATTTTATTTATTTTGAACCCTTATCTATTTAATGAAAGCAAACACTCGTTTGTCTCGACGACTCATAGTGGACAGATAAGAATAGATTCTACGTAGCTATATCGGAAGTCATTCATGCCTCGGCTTAATACAAGTAATCTTATAAATAGAATTTTGAGAATATGTATATCAATGTTATCTCTTACGCTGACTCGAATTATATGCGAATTATTTTGCCGACCAATTTTTCTGATGATAAATAAAATGTTTAAATATATTTTTTAAAATATAAATTTTAATAACTCGAACAATAATCAAATTTTTGTGCTGAAATTTTTACTGTGGTTTATGTGCACAATGTTGAAGAGATTTGGGTACGGATTTTTCAATCCAACCTTTTCTTATAAAGAAAGATTTGTTTACATTTTCAAAATTTCATCTGGAAAATTACTGCTAGTTCATTTTCATCTGGACGCCTTCCCTCGACACGTTCGTCGCTGTGGTTGTTATGCAGGGTTGTGCTCGAAGTGGTAATTGAATCGAGGTTTTTGTCTTGTTGGTAGGATCTGGCATATATCAACGAACATTAGGGTGGTATCGAGTAACGATAAAAAGTACATTTAGAGGCTGTGTTCACCTTTTCAGCATGAATGATGATTGATAAAAGAATATTTTGCATAAAATTCTCGCGTCGGAGACTATACAACGCCAATAATTAAACTCGACTTCGATTACCACTAAGCAACTTGACGGCGAACGTGTCAAATTGATAAATAAATATATATGCAAACGTGTCGGCACTTTTTCATATTTATTAACATATTGATCCATATTATTGAATTGTATCTGATTCATATTTTTATTTGTGAACTTGAAAGAACTGGTATATTCCTAAAATTATAATCACCGTCTTCGCTATACTCCTAAGATCAAGATTTATCGCTGAAGGTTATATTTCCTCTTATATATTTTTCAAAATTTCGTTTAAACCGAATTTCATCGAAAATTATAAAATATAAGACATAGTACCGTGTTGTATGTTCCTACTGTATACAATATCGAATTTATAGTCGTTTTTATTATTATAAATAAAAATTTCTGTTATCATAATCTTGCAACATAGGAATGCACAGACAACCTATACCCTAAGTATTTGTTCATTATAAAAAAATAACAGTTTTAATAAAACACTTGCTTATGCAAGAAACATTTCAGTTATGGTTGTTACAGAATTAAGTATGTTTTAAATTGTTCAACGATCGTCTACACTTTACAAACGATCATTACATGAGATATCGCGCAATTAGATTAGATAACTATTGCATGGAGATAAATAAATATTGGCAAGCTCTGCTGGTATCGACTCGATATTTAAAAAAGAAAAACAAAATAACTACTGGAAAGAAACACTGAAGCTTTATTCCATCGCTACAAAAGCATTAATCTCAGTTGAGATCGCGGTACTCGAATTTGTCGCGCGTACCATTAAAAAATTATCGCGAAACAATGATGCATTGGCACTATTCCAATAATACATACATTTCGATTTCTACAAGCAAGAATGCGCAGTAATATCGATAAAAAGAACAATCGATCAAAACGTCGAATACGTGCAATCAATGAAACGATAAGACGTGTGCTGGCACCGATAACATTATCATTGTTCTTGTTATCTGTCATGTATTTCTTCTATCGCAACGTGCAAATAAACTGTGAAGGACTCAAATATTCGCACGTCTAACGTGCCAAAACAGAAAGAATTTATGTCAGTGCTGAGACATAGAGTGGCCCACAAAAGTGTTCATACACACCTTTTAAAACGCAATAACTTTTTTAAAGCGTCTTTAAGTGACTACGTGACTTGAATTTTTTTAGATGATAAAGGGACTACTCTACTAGATGATAATTAAGATACTTATTTAAAATTTTGCTGTTACTTCTTGAAAAGAAGTAATAGACTCTCGTTTTTTAATTTTTGTATAGGAGCCTATAACGAAAATTTAAAAAATGCTTTTCGTAGATCTCGGCAACTTATATGGGTGCTGAAAATTTGATCGAAATTGTTTAACCAAGAGTCGAGATATAGGCGTTGAAAGATTGAAAAAATTGCAGATTTCTTACAGTTTTTGGTCAAAATCGTGACAAAACTGCGATTTTTGACATCTTTAATTGGTTGCAACTCGTAACAACGTCAATCGATTTCGATAAAATTCTCAGCGCACATATAAGTTACCGAGATCTACGAAAGACATTTTCTAAATTTTCATTACAGGCTCAGATAAAAAAGTTAAAAAGACGAGAGCTTTTATATATTTTTTTGTCATTCCAAGTAATAGCAAAATTTTAAAAAAGCATTTTAGTCATCGTCTAATATACTAACCCTTCTGTCATCTAAAAAAAATTCAAGTCACTTAGTCCAATTTTATAAAAGTTATTGTGTTTTAAAAGGTGTATGAACACTTTTGTGGGCTACTGTAGCAATACCAGACAGCTATAGCGCATTATTCGTTATTCAACGGATCCTAATGCTTCAGGTTTTCGTTCGAACGACCTCGTTTCTCTGTTAGAAGCGATCCGAAGATGAATTTAAACGAAGCGCGAACCATACATTCTTCATCGAATCTATAAACATGTTCGAGGGTTTAAATGGAAACGTATTTGAAGAATTTGAGGATACTGTTGCGGTACTATCAACTTATTCAAATTATTAAGCAAAAAAATTAATGGCAATGTAGATTCTGTATCTTGCAATTAATACGAACAATTTTTATTTTACGCAAAAACCTGCAGTCTACAGTAATTCAAAATACTATAGTCAGAGTTGGGTAAAATTTTATTTCGATAACGAATAAGGGATAAAGACTAACGAATCAAATTTTATTCGATATTATCGCATATCTAATCGAATAAAAATTCATCGAGATAACAGTTTATCGGAATAAAAATTTTTCGCAGAACAAAGTTATCCTTTCGCAGGTTTTCCTTCATTCTTTTGCAAAATAAATTCAATTTTATTAATTTTCGAGTGTTCAACAATATCTGTACGCCAGGTATTTCAAGCAGTGTCTCATAGACTATAAACCATGCGACAAGTACTATAGTTTTGTACCAAATCATAATTTACGTAAAATCCTGAAACGAATGTCGAATGAACGTTGTACTGCATTAGGGGGTATATTGTACAATGACAATCGAATAAAAATAACTATTTTGTACATCCGATTGTTAAAATAGAAAGATTTTGTCGTTCGACGAAATTTCTTCTCATTGATTAAAACAATACTTCATTTGAACCATATATAATTCTCTGTTTTATTCGTGTCTAATTAGGCTTATTCATGTACAGCAAAAAATTATGAGAAAAGATTATACGTTATATTTCCGGAAGCAGACGCAACAATCCAGGAAGTTGCAGGTACTAAATCCAATTTAAGTTCTAATTTAAATAAATGAGCAGATCCTCTTCCTATACTTTCACGTCTTGATTAACTGTTCGAAGCCTAATCAAATATTCGAATGGAATGTACATCGGAAGATGTATCGATGCATTTAACGAAGGACTCAATTGTCGACTGTGTTTGTCGCCCTCATAGGGAGTTCGTCATTTATTGAGCAGAGGTCCTCGAATCATTTCTAGTGAAGTCATGCGATCATTAACCCTCTATGGGCCGAATTTTTTTCTTAAATATAAAAAAATTTACGCAACGGAAAATCTATTATTATAAACCTATATATGCTAATTAAAAAAATATTTAACAGTTTGAACAACTTTATTATAATTAATTCAATTTGTAACTTTGAAGTAACAAAGGCTTGCAATGTTTCCACTTCGGTGCATAAATGCTTAAGCGTGAAGTTCCATAAAGCAGTTTGAATTTGGCGTTAAACATCGATGTACGTTGCATTTGGAAGTGGTTGCCAAATAGTTTTTTGTGGTCCTGAATTTTCCTCGTCCGACGATAATTCGGTACTAAATTCATCGTCGCTGTCAATAATATTTATGCGTCGCCTGGTAAATGCTACCGAATAATCTTCATCGGACTCAGAATCTAATAAAGAATCTTTGGATCTATTACCGCTAATTCGTCTAATTCTAATCCTCTTTTTTTTGAAAATAGAAGAAAGCACAACTATTATCCTAAATACACTCGAATCTACCACAATATCCCAATGTAACCTGGAAGTTACAAAACGGTATCATATACAAATAGTAGCAAAATGATTATTGAAATGCGAATAAATAAATTGTTATTGATATACGAACCAAGAACTATTATATACGCTTTCATCTATTTAGTAAACACCGACGAAAGCACAAATAATCTCAATTGCACAAGATGGTCCCTTTGGTTTTTATCTGCAGACAACTTGCAAGGAATTTATTTTGACATTTCAGATTGATGGTGCTGCCAACCATCGTCAATATTGTTATTGGTTATTTCAGAGGCATTATATAATTAAAACGTATACATCATCTTGTGAAAAAAACTAAAACTATTAGGCAAAATATGGATATATTAGCTTGTGACTTGAAAGTTACACGGGCCCATAGAGGGTTAAATGTTGCGAATTTTGTGCTTCGCAGGAACATCTGCAACATCGTCGTTGCAGCAAACGCTCACAAGCATTAGAGATTGCAGTGCTCCGGAGCAGTTGCTACGAATCCTTGCATCGGTACGCGATGGAAACCTGTCGCAATGCACCAAGATCTATCGCATGCCGTACAGAATACTAAGACGACAATGCTTTTACCCTTGCTAGACTGTCGTTTTGTCAATGCACCTGTAATATAATGGTACGTGTCGCGAATCTCTGCCAACAAATTGCCAGGACAACTTTCGAGAGGTGAAGCTACAGTAAAAGAAGTACCATACCCGGAATTTCATGTTCTAAAGTCTCGTGCTA